GTAATCACCTCATAGTTAACTTAGAAAATTGATTGACCATTCTGAGTTATTTATTTTTTACTAAGTTAGATTATGGCATAAATATGACTGTACTTTAACAACATAGCAAGCGAAATAGACATGTATAAATCTGGTTAAAATATTTTTTAAAAAAATCAACAAATGCTTTAGGAACTTTAATGACAAACAAAATCTAATTTTAAATAACTCATAATTATTAACTGAATGCTTTAAATCATGATTTCTTTGTTGTACACATTTTTTCTTTAAGTGATGAAACAAACAAGAGGGAAGTTATAAAATTCAGATTACGTGCTATTTTGATATCGTATAATATTTATGAAAGTGAAACATAGTAAAACTCAAATGTATTTCACTCATATTACATTTAATCTTCCATAATAACAAACAAGTTTAAAACGTTAAAAACAAAATACTGAAATGCTTCCATAAGAGTGATACAGCATAGAATTTGAAAACTAATGTCTCTTTCGTCCATCTGAGTGATAATCGATTACTGTTTGGCATTTAAGTCTGTTTAGTATAGGAAAATGGTAAACTAGCTACACAGATTTCATGGAAATGGGGGTTCTTAGAAACGCCCCTTTCGACGTTCAGTCATGCATAGCAGAAACATATGTGATAGGAAGAATAGTACTTAAATTAAAATTATTAGTTAAAGATGATGGATTTTCTGGAAGCTGAAGTTGAACTCAAACAATGAAGAAGTTGTCCAAATAATTTTCGCAGAATTAAAATTAAAAAGGAAGTTAAAGGACTAGAGATGATAAGCCATTGCACATCTATTAATTTCTCCTTCTTATGGCCTCTGACTCATGATGCATAATACAAAACTTTAAAACCAAGATAAATAGAAACAGGTAATTACTAAAAATACATTAGTTTCACAAATGCAATGAACTCAAGATATGGTTTTATTACAAAACTGTTAGGAAATGGAAAAATCAAAGACAATGAATAAGCAACATTTTTAAATTTAGATTTTAAACAAGAAGAAAAAGTTCAAGTTTATCAGAATGACAACACAGCAGTTACATCATATAATCACACATTCTTTAAATTAAACTTTCAATAAAAGGGGAAAGTTTGTTTCACACAATGACAATAAGGTAGTTCTCTCTTTTCTTATTAATCCTTAACCCTTTGTTGCATCATGTCCACTCTAGTAGACAAAAGTTTAAATTTGTTTATTCTTCTGTAAATGCCTTAACAGATTCCATTCCTGTGTTTATTCATTCTATATTATTAGAACTTTACACTGCCGATCATAGATGGCTGTATAGCATCACTAATCAAAGCATTGCTATTTGGAAACTGGCTGCTACTTCTGTTTCCAAGTTAGTACAATTTCTCATAGTAAACATTATATAACATTGCTTACATTTTCTTATACTGCCATTTCTTATTCATAATTACTAATTTTAGACATTTTATTTTGAACGTCAGTTTAAGAAAATTGTGGAGTGGGTAGATAAAGATCTGAACCCAAATGTATTGCCAAATTAAAGCTACCCAAAAGAGTGAATTGAAACCCAAATGTACTGCTTATCAAGCAAAAACACCACTGGAAATGTTTATGTTTGGCAAGGAATTTCTAGAACATTTAAATCCAATAGGTACAGGTTACAAAATCGTAGCAAAATAAATTCAATCACAATCAATGAAATGAAGGTATTTTGGGGGATCTGTATGTACATGTCAATTGTAAATTTATCATTTAGAAGATGGTAATGATCACTGCAAACAAGGCAGGAATGATGACCGCAAACCGGTAGGAAGAGGTTTGTAGGCATGTACATATATGCATGCTGTCCACTGTAGTGAACAAACTGTAGCAATTATTTAAAACGAAATTTGAATGAATTTTTTTTTATTATTATTACTAAGGTTATTTTAGGTAGAAAAAATACAAACATTTTCGTTTAATTTCTCTAGATTATTTGCATGTAACAAAGGGTTAATTTTGAAGTTAGTTTACATATGGTGTTTGTTGTTAAAAGCATATTAACTGAATCGTATTAGAAATGGTTATTTTTAGAGGGACTTTTTTAAATGAATTAATTACTATTATGACATACTGTAAACCATTTTACACATACGTTCCAAATTATACTATAATTTCCTTACCATCCAAGGATATGAAATTAATGTGCCAACTACATTAAGAATTTAATTAATATAACAAAAGCACATCATCATACAGGTACCAAGAATTAATACACCAAAATAGTTAAACATATCTCACGTAACCAAAATTTGTTGTGGTCTTTTTTTGAAGGAAGCCATCTCAGAAAACATTCATTGTAATGTTCAATACTAAAATAATTTTTTTCAAAAACACTACTCAAAACCCTTATATATGTTTTTAGAAAGAAATAACAATCATTTCAAGTTAGTGATACTAGGGAGGTAGTCATAATAAGTGTAGCACAAATACAGAAAATAAAGATTTGAATATAAGACTGCAAAACATTATGATGAATATGAAGACCAAGGATGACTTGGACAATATCAGCTGATCTGCAGATGCAACATGATAATGCAGTGCAGCTATTTTTAATAATTTAAAATACAATAAAAAGTCCGAAATCCAGATTCATCGGGATTTCAGTAATTCCAGATTTGGGATTTCTCGAGATATTAGATCATCAGTTTAAATCTAGTAAGATGACATGTAGAAAATTTAAAATTAAAAATATGAAAGTGTGATTTATGAAATAATGAAGTATTTATGATGTAAAGGGAATCAAAATTAAAAAAAAAGCTTAATATTTATTTGTTTACCTTATTAAACACTTTTTTCAATGTAAGTTTTTTTTTTTTTTTTTTTTTTTTTTTTTTTGTGCTAATACTTTCTCTTTAATTCTGTAGACAGACAAAATCTCTTGTTTAGTTACATTGTTGAAGTCCTGTAACTGCTATTTCAAGAATTCCGACTAATTTGACAATCGCAATTTTCTCGTTTTCAGTAACTTCTCTGTCACTTTCTTCACTAACGGTAGCGGTATTTTCTGGATTTACAACCATACTAAAGGTTTCGCCATTCATTAATTGATTGATAATTGAAAGGCATTATCATCATAATGAAAAACTTCTTTTATATCATCTCCATTTATTACCGCTTCTCCACATTTCTTTACAAAATCCGTTAATTGGAAAATTTCACCTTTGTTTTGCGATATGCGAAAACTTTTCAAATTTGCAGCTTTCGTCATCAAATTTAACTATCCTTCACTATACATATTTGGCTATGCATCATGACCTTGGCAACTAACGGCAAGAAGTTCCGTTAAATTTTAACTTGCTTCTATCATGCACTGAGATAATTAAGCCTGAATTGTATTAGTTTAGTTATTTTTTATTCTTATGTCTACTTCTTGCACATACTTAAGGCTTAGCAGAATTCTGAATAAATAAAGTAAGCTTTATTGAGGGCCGACGCTAGATATCTTACCGCCTGATTCAGACTCTGTCGGACCTAAATTCTGCAACGGAGCGCGGCCATACGAGCCCTGGTGCAGGTTCTGGGTTTATGTGAGTAATAAATCAGTTATTCATAATTCAAATAGCACTAAATGTAATCTTTTGGCCTATGAGTATCATTAAAAAAAAATATTTTTAGCATATGAAAAAAAAATTTGTTAAAGTTTTCCTCATCAACATTTTTAACGCATTTAATTTAAATCTGTAATTATCGCCAAGCGTAATGTCAACATAAAGGGTTACCATACTCCTTTATTATTCATTTACTAACATGAAAAAATTACTTAGGCATCGCTACATGAGTCATTACTCAAGTTGTCATGTTTTGGTAAACATGCGGTGATGAAAGGAAAGTATAATAAATTATGATTTGCCAGGTTGGCATCTAATCAATGATGTATGGATGTGGAATGTTTTGGTTTGAGATGTGTGCCAAAGCAGATTACTGATTATGCAGCAACAGAGCCAAATTACTGATTATGAAAATTTATGCTAAAATGATTGTTTCTTTAATTACAAAGTATTTCAGTCAGTGTCAAAGTGAAATTAAGAATTGGAACTCTCCAGATCTTTTATTATGCATGGGGGGGAATCATATGTGCATGCGTAAAGCATACGAGAAAAACGGTTTTTGTGGTTTTGAGGTCCGGATTTTAGATTATTCCGGATAATTAACAACTGGATTTCGGACTTTGCACTGTATTGTTAGAATGCTTTATCTACACAGAAGCAATCACATCATGCAGCCACACATCACGTCTGCATAAATGTCCTAAACAAATATTCCTCTCTTTAATTTTTACTATTTGAAAAATTACAGACAAATATTGGTTTGATCTTTCTCTGTGCATTTTCCATATGAAAATATTATAAATAAGCTTCCCTGTACAAATATTCTCTGAGCAAAAATTGCTTATGTAAATATTCCTTTCATATACTGGCACAGAGTAAAGTTACCAAAGTTAACAGGAGTATCAATACAAAGGATTATCAGCAAAAATGTTTCTGACACAAGTATCACTCAGTAAATTTGCATTTTGATTTCTAAGAGATATTTTGTAAATTTCACTTAATTTTCAGAGTATTAAGGGTTTGATTACATGGTTATTGCTGTTCTTATAATCACAAGGAGATATCACTTGTATTAGGATTATTCTGCTTGCAAATATTACTGTCGCTGATTCTGTTGGAAGCGAAACACACTGCTTAAATTTCTAACCAGTGAATAATTATTTTTATAAATAAAGCATAAAAAAGCATAAAAGTTATGATTTTAATGTACATTATATCTCATAAATGTATGAAATAACTTCCACTATATGACTTACAGCATCATTTTTATCATAGGATATAAAATATAACAGCTGATTACAGCTACAAAAGCTCAAACAATTAATAACTACTACTAAAACAATAGTAATACATTACTCATTAATCATGGTCTTTCACACTAAATTATACACTCACTTATTTTGATAGAAAAAGTTTAAACCTACCAATCCTTCAACATAGACTTCTCTGGGTTCACCTTCAAATGTCAATTCTCTTGGTTCGTTATTATCCAATACAACAAGTGCTTTATTATTCACAAAGTGAACCAACCTCATTTTATTGTCAAGTTTAAAAGGTTTAACAGCAGATGGCAATGGCAGAGTATCTAAAATAGAATATTCACAATAAGTTTCAACTACCCATCACAACTTACATTTTTTACACTGTAGCATTTTATTAAATAACCACATTATGATACATAACTTAAAGGCATATAAAAAATAATGTCATTGCTGCTTTTAAAGATGTGGCATGCAATCACATCTGAGAAATATTTTACAACAAATTCCTGCATTTATTCAAATTCTAAACACATTGTGAAACATTTTTTAACTTGCAAAACAGCAACATAAAATTCAAAATAAACTAACAAAAATTTATTTCCTATTAACTATGAAAAGTATCTAAAAAAAACCTTCACTTTAAACAACATTTAAAGAATCCAAAACTAATTGCCCTTAGGTTTGTTTCATTATTATAAAAGGACTTCACGAAACTAGAAGCATTAATTTAGCAGTAAAACTGCACATTGAACAAAAATATGCAAACTACATAAAAGTGAAATACAATTTCAACATAAAAGACTGTACAGTTAAGATTACACATGTACATATATTTGGAATTGCATCATAACAAAAAATATTTAAACTCACATAGCAAGGCCATTTAATTAAAAAAAATTAAATAAATAAAACAAATTAAACACAGTATAAATGCGCAGCACAGTAAGAAAATGCTCTTTTTAAATTTATAATCTTTCATATCAGGGAAATTCTGCAACAGCTATGGAGAAAAATTATTGAGACTGGAAGTTGTTTTTACTGTCTTCATAGAAAATTTCTCACTTCCTCTTCACAGTAAGTTTAAGATACTTTGACCTTACATGACTTGATGGCTCAGGAACAACTACACCATACTGATGTCTCCTTAAATTTTGATGGAGGCTGTACTGTAAGGTTGTTTTAGGTAGATCTAAGCTGATCAAAATAATTTCATTACTGATGACAACTAAGCCACTTATTTTGAGCTTTTCATATGATATTTAAGACTACTTGACATCTCCTTTTATACAAGGAAAAATAACATTTACATTATTTTCAAATGCTTAAATTATAAAAGGAAAATAACCATGTAGCAGTTGTCCTCAAACACTCATACCATAGTAACATCCCATTCAGAATGATTTTAAACATACATTGCATAATATGCAACGCAAATTTATAATAGATTATGGCTAATCTGTTTGTACAGGTATTAACAAAAGAAAGAATCAGTTACTCTGAGTTAAGAGCTTATATTAGATATCATTTTGAAAGCAATAAAAAGATGGATATTTAGTTCCTACATGCAAAACTATCAAAGACAACTTTTTAAGTAGACAAATTAGAATTTTATTCATGCTTAGGTTCAGACAGTTTAAAAGAAGGAACTGAATATATTTAACAAAATAAAGAAAGTTATCTACAAGATTCAAAGACTAGAATATAAGAGAATGTCATTATAATTATTTTTTTCCTGCTTCTGAAGCTGAGAAGTAATTTTTATTCTAAGCTTGAAAGACAAACACTGCACTCACAAGTTCAAACAATAAATATTAAAAAATATTGCTTATGATATATTGGGCATGCAACTAAAAAAAGAGTAAAATGTAAAGTGATTTTATATGAAGTAATATATGAAATACTGGAAATGCAAAACCCCCACAAATGGCAAGCGGGTTACTAAGTAACAAATCTTGAAGAAAAAAACCAAAAAAAGTACCTACATTAGTAAAAACTCTGTACTTAATATTAAGTTCATAAATTAACAACCATACGCAGTGGAATATACTTCTGAGTTATTTCAATTTATTTATGTTAAAATGATATTTTTTATAAGTTAAACATTACTTAATGTGAAATTTAAATTTTCTTATATATCTTTAACCCTTTCGGGACGAGCGTCCCATATACGCATTCCCTAAGAGTGTCTTTTACAGCCAGGTGTCCCATTGATGCAACACTAGAGATTGCATTTAGATGAATGATGCGTATATGCATTTTAAGCTGGAACATTTTTCTGTAGTAGATGGCATCCTATGTTCATTACTTTTAAAATGAACACAGTTTTAGGATCCTGACCTTGAGTTTGAAATATTCTGCCTGACTTTGGTATTTTACTTATCAACTGTTGGGAGGGTGGGGGAAGGGAAAGCGTAAAGAGGTGGGCTCTTTAAATCACCGCATGCTAATATAAAGATTCGCGTGTCCGATTTATATACAATTCCTTTTTTTATTCTACTTTTCTCTATGTATGGTCTTTTAGGGTTACTATGTGGAGTTCTGTTACGTTTTGCATTGCCTTTAAGATACATTTCGGTTTCTTCTCTTTTTATTTTCGAAAGGCTTCACCTTGAGTCTATTACAGTGGGAAGGTGCTATTTATCAGAGGAAGAATACCCTCGTATGGTTAATTAACCATTTACTAACACAGATGACAGTGATGATTCATTTTCTAAAGAGTTTAGTGATACTTTTCCGTGCTTCGAGATTTACTACATTGTCAGTCTTCATTTCAAATTTTGTTACTTCTTACTGTAAATAGTCTTTATTGTGTTGTCTTATTAATTTTGAACTTTAATGATGGTGGTTATCAATTAAAACTTTGGAATAATTTGAATAGCACTTCAAAAAATTATTTTACAAAATAAGCAATTCTTTAAGTATATTTTCATGTAAAATAAAGAATAAAGAAAAAAGGTGTCGTCTTAATTTTAACACATATAAGAGCTCAAGTAATAATCTAAAGTGATACCAAAAATTACGATGCTAGATGTGAAACTTTTTTTCTGATTTTTTTTTTTTTTTTTTTATAAAATTAGGCTTAGCAATGCAAAACCCCCATCCTGTATGGTGATTGCGTTCGATTCTCTTCCGTCCCGCATGAGCATCTTAAACAAAGGTGTACCGCCACGAAAGGGCTAATAGAAAATTGCATGGACAAAAATTCAATAATTATCCCAAATTTTAAATTCATAACTGCTTAAATCTAAGCTATAGAATGAAAATTCAGTAACAGGAACTAACATTATTTTAAGCAGCATTTGTTTTGCCTCATTGCATTAGGGTGGATTCACTAAAGAATTCTAGCAGTTTTGTAGATACCAGGACAGTATAGTGGAAAACTAGTACAATCAGTAAGAAAGGGTCAAAGGCAGAATTCTATAACATATACAGTAAGTACATGAAAAATCTAAGAGAACAAAAATATGAGATATTAGAAAAAGCACAGCATTTATTTGAATGGTAAAATTCAAATGAAGACTTGAAAGCAAATTAAAAATAGTTCCTTATATATAATAATAAAAATTCAATATGTAACTACAAAAATTTTTTAAATTTAACAACTGAATATTTTTGAGGAAAATACATCCATAAAAATTAATAAACATATGCTATAGTCTTCTCTTTACCATATGATAACAAGCATTCTTCACAGAACAGACAAAACAAAAAAGACAGTTCTTTACTCTTTCCAACAAGGTTAACTAACAGTGGCAAAAAGAAACCATGCCATTTTGTTCAAAAACACTTAAAAAATAATGCATATTTTACCAACAACAAAGTTCTGACAGACTTTCAGACATGCCTCTAAAATAATCTATTATTAGTGGTTCAGTCAAAGAGAAGAATACATACTTTTAAATTTCATAGTCTGAGGTTGAAAATTTATTTCATGTTCTAAATTTGCTCTCAGCTTCTGTGGATTTGAGAATTCATGATTTTTCATCTTACTGCTGTTCAAATTCTAAAGTATAAGAAGCAAAAAGAGTATCACACAAGCGAATATTCAAATGGAAATAATATAAAATTTAATCACACTGCAAACTCTTCCTTTTGGGTGTGGAAAAGAGGGAACTTAAAAACTTTTTTTCCATTATTCTCTTTTATTTTCTATAAGTGCGAAAAAGCATGAAAGTATGAAAGCATGAGAAAAGTATTATCAATGCCAAATCACATGGAAAATTCTAGGTGAGTGCACAAGATGTTATTCATGATGCTTACACATTATCTTTATACTGCTTCTCAGTTTAATGTTATACCATTCAATCCATTGAGAAAAACCTAAAAACCTGTGTTAATATGAAATGCATATGAGTGTTGCACTCAATAGGCATTTTGGAAGCTCTTTTATTAAAATGGTCTTTATAAAAACATAACCAATCCTCCTCCCCCCCCCAAATTTGATTTAATGAGTTAAAGTTACATTTACATGGCTTTCAGCTAATTCCAATTCCATATACACTGTCGGCCATTAAAATTGATACACCAGGAAAGAAAGCAAACAGCAGAATCTTATTTATTATACACACAGTACTATAAAAGAAAGGAAACTGCTAAATTTTAGGTGGTTTAGGATACCTTAGCCTTAAAAATTTAGTATTACAGAGCTGTCATCTCTAGCAGCATCAATGGCTATAATCCAGCTCGGCAATAAGTTGAACTAGGTTCAAATTGAAAGATGTCGATATTTCATTCCATGCAGCTTCACCTCTATGCCAGAGTTTATCAATCATAATGGCACTGGCAAGTGGCGGCATGTTAATCTCTCAGCAATCCATGACCAATGGGTTACAGACCTTGTGAACGTGCTGGCTAGGGAATCAGTTGAACACCCTCAGCACTAAGAAAGGACAGAACAGCAGGGGTAACATGCAGCTGAGCATTATCTTGTTGAAAAATGGCATCCTGCAGGCCTCACAGATAAAGCACAGCCACAGCTTAAAGTGTATAGGCAATGGTGGCTGCCCACATTACCAGCTATATAAACAAGATGTGACCAAAATGTTTACCATGGCACCCTATACATGCATGATATAGGGTGCTGGGCCCACATGACAGTGACGAATGCAAGCTGGCTACATGTGCCCTCCTCATGTGAATACATCCATTGAGATGCAGTATGCAGAACTTGGATTCGTCTGAAAAGATGACATGGTACCACTCCCGTGCACATTGGTTATCGCTTTATTGCATCATTGTAAGCTTGTCTGTTTGCTGTAACATCAAGGAAAGCTGTGCTGACAATTTATAGTGCTTCAGACATCATCATGCTACTTGTGCAGACACTTGTCATCCTGCACACAAGTTCCTGACTCAGGGTATTGGATGTATGATTTTGCAAGGCCGAGAATTTCAATAGGTCATCATCCTGCTGCAATTAAATTCTGATACATGCTGGTAGAAGTTCCTCTTTCTTACATGAAGTGTAACATGAAGTTCACACAAAGGACTAATGTTCAAATGCGAACCCCAACGTCCAATCTTCCTGTTTATATACAATACAGATCGCATTACAGATACCTACTTTGTGCATATGTGCTGGAATGCTAAGCATTTGCATGGCCCAGCATGCAGTATCCTTCATGCAAATTTGATATTTTTTTCATGCTGCCTTCATGGTGTAGTAAATTTAGTTTTTCAATTTATTCAATTTTCTTTTTCTTTCTTTCTTTCTTTCTTTTTTTTTTTTTTTTTTGGTTTGTTTACTTTGCTGTTCAATTCAATATGCAGGTTGCTTCTAAAGTCTTCACGTACAGGAGAATCTAATGTGTTTTGATAAAATATGTCTTTATTGAAATATATATTCAAGTGTTTACTGTGAATGTAATGCAAAACACGGTTTTGTTTGTTCTACTATTGGTATTTATTTAATCTTTAAACTGCCAAAAAATATTTAATAGGCATCAAGTTTTATCTGACATGGCTCCAACCCAGTTAGTTCTAAGTGAAATGGTTCTACTGGATTTTAGAACTTTCAGCAAATTTATACAGCAAGATTTTTCCTCCAGAAACATTTTAATTTCAATGCGCTTGATCTTTCTGTCAAATGCATATTTTATAAATAGGATACAGTGGTATTTATTTAATCTGGATAATCTAATTTGGATATTGGTATTTATTTAATCTTTAAATAGGATACAGTGCATATTTTATAAATAGGATACAGTGCTTACTGTCTTCAAGTGTAACTGCATATGAGATACAATGCCAAGTTAACACTGTATCCTAAAAAATAATTAAAATATACAGTATATCCATAAAATGAATTCCAACAGCAATTAAAAACAAAAAAAAAAAATATTTTCAGAATATTTTATATTTGCTAGATTGTACCAACTTGAATCTAATTGCTATGTAATTTTCATTATTAAAGCACTTGCATTAAGGCATCACTTTGCATATCCCCAAAACACAGATTGAGGCATGACGTGATACATACTAACACTTCTTGTGAAAGAAATGCTACCCACCATGGTACATTTGATGCACAAATATGTTAAATTTAGTACCAAAAACAAATTGTCCAGGATGAATAATGATTAATCTGTTCTAGTAAACCACATTGAAAAGGTCTAGCATTCTGGCAGAACAATGCGACTTGGTGAAGCAAAACGACACACTAACCAAATCATATTTATCATTTGGAATCACATAATGCAGTTTCTTGTCTCCCAACTGATGCCACGGATAACATTGTGCCTGTATGCAATTCAATATGCAAAACACTTTATCCATTCAAAGAATTGTATATATGAAAATACAAATTGATATGGTTTATTTAATTTTTTCTTTGTCAGCAACCATATGTACCTTCACTTTTCAAGAACTGATACTTCAAATCAAGAAATGGTGCAATTCCCATAACTGTAATGACATAATTCAAGAACTTATCATCTCATTCAACATATCATGTGGTGAAAGGGCAAAACAGTGACAGATAACTCACTTCAGAGAGTATACACGGAACTCAATATGTATTATGGTTTCAAAAATTCTAGGTGGTGTGATATAAGTTCAAACAGAAATGACTGTGCAATTTCAGAAAAATGCAGAGAAAACGATTACATGGGAGTTCAACTGCCCTTACTCATTTTACATTCAAGTACACACATTATATCACAGTGTACTTCTGTACACTATATCATCTTCAAGTACACACACTTCACTTAATGAAAGGCACACTTTTACATCCTCCACTTAACTCCCCATTTGTTCACCATCATCTGCAACATTTTCGCTATACAAACAAAGTGTTTTACAAACATCGACTGTTTTCACTTTCCCTGCACTCAAGAAATGGACAACAGACTGAATTTCATAAGCTGCTATACAGTCTAACATCTTACACATGTAGAAATGGTGCATCAATATGATATGTTTTCCTTTGAATGGCATCTGCAGTTGATAATACATATAACAATTCAACTTAATGTGCACTTTCTAAAATTCGACCCCATTTTCTCGATATGCCCCATGTGAACTGAAATTAAATGGAAGCCTAAGACTCCTTCAGACTTCCAACCACGTTTTCCCTAGTAAGAAGTTACAGCCATTCAAGACAGCACCTCCCTCCCCCCGAAAAAATTCCCACTCCTCAGTCCATAACTGTCTTTCAAGTTATTGAATCAATTCAGATGATTTTTCATTTAGAAATTAAAAACTAATAACAATTATTTATGATAATGGGACACATCATTAATTCATCTTTGTTTAACCTAATTATGTTAATTAATTGCAGAAATATTATGTACATGATGTAATCAAATAATTCCACTCAGAGGTAGGAAAGTTGAAACAAAGGAAGGTTTGCCGAACAGCTACGATTTTGTAGTAATCACTGCAATATGAAATTTCATGATATGCTATACCACATAAAACAGTTCACTGCTGTGATGATAAATTCACCCAATATGCAAAAAAGAAGCTGTGCCAATATTGAACAAACTTTGTGGTCTCCTCACCCCACACCCCTCAAAAAACCCTACTTTTTGCTACAAATATTTCTGCTTCAAATCTAAAACAATTAAAATCCAAAAATAAAAAGTGAATTTTTGATTTTTTTCAGCGATATTTTCAAAGCTCAAGTTTCAGTTGAAAACTTAAGTTATAGAAAATATAACAAACTTTAGGATTACTTTTCAAGAAACTTCTGATACATCATTAATGGATATTCTACTTATTATTGAGAATTTCAAAATTAAGGAATGAGTTTTGAAAAAAGGCACAAATTAAAATTTGTTCGTGTATCTTTCTCATCAACAGGCCTCACCAGTGGCTGATCGATTAAAGCAGTAGAATACTGGTAGTTTGATCTCATTTCAAATTCAGGCTGGCTGTATGATTGGTTTTTGTGGTTTTCCTCATATGTAATGTGTATATGAGCCAGTTTCCCATACAAAGCCCTACAACAAGGCATCCCTACCCTAAGGCAGACAGCCCTCATATTCACCTTATTCAAACAACCTAACGATCTCATCAATAAAAATGAAATGTTACAGCTCTCTGAAGATAAACATAGAGAATTATGACATTAAGCTGTTCTCACTTCGAGACACAAACTGTTGGCTATTAATGAGTTACACCCTTTGATGCCAATATTTAGCTGCAGAAGACTGGCAACAATGTGTATGTTTTCTCTTGCAAAATAACAGTACGTGAAACAATAACTAGTAATAAACCTTCATTTTCTGTAAACAAATTCATGTTTTTTTTTACTCTTATGAAGAGAAATGCAAAATTACTTATTTCTGCAAAAAAATTATTTAAATTAGAACTAGGAAATGGGATATGAAGAGGGGCAGGGAAACAGCAATGTTACAATTTTAAAGAGAAACAAAGAAAAAATTAATAAGATGTGTTCACACCTGACTGAAATGTAAGATTTAGAGCTATTTTATAGGGTGTACTGATTTATGCAAATTCTGCAAATTTTCCACAAGCATGAGTTCATGCAGTAATAGATTA